TACCTGATTTTAAATAGAGGCACGAGCGATCTAAGAAGACATAGTGTTTACTGGTGAGGCATTAAAGCATCCTCCAGCATCACTCACTCACTTATGCCCATTATGCCGTGTGGCACGTAGGGCGGCTTTTTTTTTGCCGTTTCCGTAACATGGGTGTTTTACGGGACAGGGTTGTTATCCCTGTGCCCAACCCCCTAAACTGGAGGACCGGTGGATCGCGCTTCGTCGGACCTCTACCCTTCGACCTGTCTGGCTTGGGTGGCCCTACTAGGAGACGATGCTCCCGCTGGCATAGCTTTAGGGGTCTCCGAGGCACTCAAGCCCGCCGACCACGACATGGTGGTGATCCTTCGGGGGATCCTCTAACATAGAGGAACACAATGCCTGTAGCAAGGCGAGCTCGCTATGAAAAAAGTGTGAAAAGTTAAATTTTTTCCTACCCACCTCATCAGATACCTGTTGAAATATTTGAAATATCTTAAGATATTAGGGTTGAATTATTATGGTCACTATCATAGGCCTTTCATTGTCATCGTCATCGTTAGTCCTATGATTATTATTATTGTTGTTTTTGTTATTATTGTTATTATTGCTATTGTTATTATCAAAATTACAATTATTGCTAATATTTTTACCTGGTAAATGAAAGCGGCAGTAATACAGTGTGCTGATTATTTTCCTAGAAAGAAAAAAATTTCCTTGAAAGTGTCATTCGATGTGAGCATAAATTATCTCAACGATCGCATTTATTTGGGTTTTCCGCCAAACAGGATTTCAATCAATTCATTAATTGTTGTTATTATTGCTATTATTACCATTATTGTTATTAATATTATTATCGTTATTGCCCCCGCAGGGTTTTTGGCCCCAGAGGGCCAAAAACCCGAGGAGGCACCTTAGGACTCCCCGCGTAAAAAAGAAAAATTCGATTTATTCAACGTTTTTCCCGCAAATTATTATAGGATCGGCGTCTTTATTTGGAGAAGAGAGAATTTTGATCGTACCAGAAAAAATCTCGATTTGATCGCTTGCACGGCCGCAAGGTATCAAACAACAAGCCCAACTCAAAAAAAAAAAAAGAAAATGGTACTGTAGGGCGGGGGCAGCTCTAGTGAGAACTATAACTAGTTTTAATTTTAAGCTGTACCACTTTTCAAAAACCCGTTTATTTTTATTTTATTTGATTAATTATGAATGTGCAAAATTTTGGGAAATTACCCATCAAAACTGTTTTAGTGTTCCTTAAAAGCTGTCATTCATTTGACATGGCTATTAGGAAAAAACAGATCCAACGTTCAAGTTCGCTTCGACCAAACATCTGCTCCAAAAGGTACAAATGAGAATTGCGCTTACTAGCTCTACAAGGAAAACATTAAAACAGGGAGCATGTGAGGATTGAATTTAAGCTAAAACGGCCGCCATCACAGCATACTTATCTAAATGTTAATTTGCTCGATCACAAAACCGTCACGAAAATGCATGCAACTTACATTTAAAATGACATTATCTTTTGAAATGGAAATTTCTATGAAAAACTACTCAAAAATAGCTTTATTCCAATAATAATTAAAAAAAAGTGACAAATGTATTTAAAAAAAACCAACGGCAGCTGAGTTTTGGACATTCAAACTTGCCAGCAAGGTAGTACGAAGACAGTGAGAAAACAAAATGAGTTTCTCTCGTTGCCTCGTTTTTATATATATCTGTGTTTACGCTTTTGTTCACGCTCGCTATAAAAATGGAGATTTCATGTTGGGTGGACTCACTTCTAGCTCTGTTCGTCAGTTTCAAGACACCGAGGCCCAATGCGGCGGTAGTAATGAACAATTTGGTGTCGCACAAGCAATTATCTTCGCCGTCGAAAAGATAAATAATGATCCATACCTACTTCCAAATATCTCCCTTGGATATGACATCAGAAATTACGACGGAAATATTACTAAAGCAGGGAAGATAACTTACGAACTGTTTGAAGATACCCTCTGTGCTAGCTCAGCAGCCGGTAATAAGACCAAAAGGAAGCCTATTGTTGCCTTAATCGGTCCCTTCGACTCCCGCACAGCTTTGTATATTGGCGGAATTCTCCGTATGTTTAATGTCTCTGGAATAAGCGGAACAACAACCAGTGGGGAGCTGAGTTCCAACAGTTATGCTCATCTGTATCGTACTGTGCCCTCCGATACATTTCTTGCAAAAGCTATGGTCGACATCATTGAACACTTTAACTGGAGTTATGTGGCTGCCGTTGGACTTGATGACTCGTATGGCAGAGGCGGAGTATGGTCTTTAGTCAATGAAGCAACGGCTAGGAAGCATCCATTTTGCATCGCGATGACTGAGTTTATACGTCACGAGGCACAATTTCCTAGCATTAAGTATGTCGTTGAAGAATTGAAAAGCCGCGAAAATATCAAAGTAGTTATCTTATGGTTATATGGGGACTATTTGCAAAGGTTTATAGAAGAAGTCAGCAGACAAAACCTCACAGATCGCGTTTGGATTTTAAGTGAAATATACTCGATTTCGAAAGAAAACGACTTCATGGATTCAAGATTCTCTGTCTTGGAAGGATCTATAGGATTTCAACATCATGATTACAATGGGTACGAATTTAAAGAAAGCTTAAAAACCATTCTGACGAACGCAGTGACTGATAATATGACTTCAGAGTGGAGTGATGTTGAGGATAATCCATGGAACTGTCAAGGATTTCGACAAGTCCGCGACAATTCCAAATCTGAGCAGCACCACAGCAATGTTGTTAATGAAATCTACAGCAGTTACGTTCCATACATCATCGACGCTGTGTACTCAGCAGCCCATGCTCTGGACATATTGACCACAGATTTGAACGGCATCGATGCCAGTGATCTGCAGCAGTTTGATGTGAATATTAAAAAAATGCAAAGGGTCCTTGGAAGAGTAAATTTTACAGGGTTAACAGGAAAAATTAAGTTTGACAAATTCGGTGATATAGACTCGGCGTCATATGACATTTTCAGTATCGAACGAGTATCATCCGAGACCAATGGTCTTAAAACCACCCTTGTAGGAAAATGGGAAAATCATGCAAAAAGTAAGGCTCAGTTACATTTTTATCGTGAAATTCTTTGGAGGACTGTGAATGGTGAAACACCAAAATCTGAATGCTCGGAACAATGCCAGCCAGGAACGAGAAAGTCGTCTACTTCACCTTGCTGTTGGCACTGCGTCCAGTGTCCTGGCGGCTCAGTCAACCCTTATCCTGGCTCTGCGAGTTGTGTTGAGTGTCCTAAGGGTAGAACAGCTAATCAGGCTAAGACAGAGTGTGTAGCTTTGCCCTCGGCAAACTTAAGCTACAACAGTGTTGGCGGAATGTTTATTCTTGGGTTTGCCACTTTTGGTGTAATTCTCTCATTTTTTTCTTTCGTAGTGATTGTTAAATTCTGGAACAGTCCTATCGTCAAGGCATCCAAAAGGGAGTTGAGCATTTCTCTCCTGTTATCTGTTCTTTTGTTGCTATCTCTGACATTCATAAATGTCTTGGAGCCCACAAATACAATTTGCAGAATTATTTATCCGGTTCGCTACTTGACATATAATCTTTGTCTCTCTGTCTTGCTAACGAAATTCTTGCTTATCTCGAGCGCATTTCAGGTTCCAATAGTGATCAACTCTCTCTCGGACAGAGTTCAAGTTTGTATTTTAATAATGTTGCAAGTACTGCTGCTGATTTTTATTATACCGTGGCTTCAACTAGATCCACCGTTTAAAGTGCAACATATTTATTCCGAACTCTACACTTTTAGTAACTGCAAAGCATTCACTAGTTTTACTGGAAAAAGCCTATTTTCGGTAATATGTTTTTATGTTTTCGTCCAGTTGCTACTATCCGCAGTTTTTGCCTTTAATGTACGGAAAATTCCTGAACATTTTAGTGAGGCAAAGCGGACAGCTTTTTCCTTGTACATATTTCTGTTATCCTTGCTATGTTTTCACCCAGTGGAGTGGTCTATCGATGGATGGTATGTAACGGTTGTGGACTGTGTCACAACTCTGTTGAGTGCGTATGGTTTCCTTGGTTGCATATTTTTGCCCAAAATGTACATCCTACTATTCAGACCGGATCTAAACGCCTTGGCCAACATTAGACAAGAAGTCACTCAGTTCTCGTTTGGCTCGAACCGTGTTCGTGTCAGACCTGCTGTTGATATTTCCACCCAGGAACCCCAATGTTAGACAAAAGTGAGACAAAATCCTTAAAATATTAAGATAATAGAAACGAAAAAGTCTCAAAGTAACCATTGTATCCAATCTAAAGAATAAGTACCTTTTAAGTATGTTTTAAGCGATATTTGGTTGAAGTGAACATTCATTTCTTAAAGGAAAAACCTAATTCAAAGGACATTCAACTTCCATAAAATTTTATGTTTGTTTGTACAAGGTGATTAAAGTGAACGTTTCCTAATTGAGTACTGTCTATCTTTTCTATTCGAGATTGAGCAATTGCCTCTACTACACGTAAAAAAAGATTTAAAATAAATAGTCTTGTCTTTCGGTGTGGAATGATTACAAAATAACCAAAGTATAAGATCACGATGTACCAAGCTTTGGTGCATGCTTCTGAATCCTCTCGAATCCCTCCAATAATTTTAAGGCGATTAGAAACAAATGATTTGTTGATTGTCATCTAACACGACATTGAGTTGGCTTCTTGGATGAAAATCGCGCGTAATCCAAGCTAGAATGAGTATTCATTTTAAAATTTTGCCCTGTATGTAATAAACGAGTAATCGCAAGTGCCTTCGTGTAATTAAGGATTAATTGCACTTGTATTTCCAAAGTTCTACAAATTGCCCTCTTCTCTTAGTGATTCGGGAAATTTATCAGTTGGAGAACTTTAAACTTATGCGTGAAATTGACTCTTAATTGCCCTCGGGCCAATGCGATTACATATATAATTTGAGGTCGCTTTAATTAAAATGCAAGTGAATGTTTTTTCTGAGAAAAATATCTGTTTTTCAGATACAGCGGTATTTAACGAACAGATATTTCAAGCTCCCTGGGCATGGATCGCCAAACCAAGAATTCAAGGCGCCAAGCAAACAGCTGTCTTTCGCTTGACACTTGTGGCGAACCACTGAGGAAGAATTGACGGCAATACAGTTTGTAGTATAGAAAACCCCAGGACAGGTACGACTGTTTTGCCGACCGAAGGTTGCCTCCAAGATGTCTAAGGTTGATCCGCTGCCACAACTTATGGACTGCGTGTTTCTCTCACATATGGTAACAGACAGCAGCTCTTAAAAATAAAAAAAAGGAGGGACATCAAAAAGGCAAGGACAATAAAAAGGAAAATAAAAGACTCGGCCAGTGAGAAACGGGATCGACACTTACTTGTTCCCATAACAACAAGCAAGTGTAAACTTTAGTAACGTCTAGATCTCCGTTATCAACACCAAGATCTTCTGTTTTTCTTACGCTAAAAGCAGATGTTCAAAATTAAATCTTGAAACTGTTACATAGGAGATAGATGGAGAATAATACATGGACGCACGTAGATATGGAATTTGTCTTCGAGTTTTTCAGATACAGCAGTATTGTGAGCTATCGACTTGAACACGTGTGAGCGCAGAGAACGAGTGAGATGTCGATTTGAACACGAGGAGAGAAACTCCGTATCTACAAGCAACCATGTATTATTTTGTTTATCATATAAACACAGTAGCCCTTTAGTGAAAAGAAGTGCCTACTTCATTAATGAATGAAAATAATAGAATTGACAATCGTACAGTGCGTTTGCGCTAAGGTTCGAGATGGAAAAATGCGTTGAATCATGATTACAAAAACAACAATGGGCATAATTTTCAATTTACAAAATTCTCATTTAATGACCGACCTTACCGACCGAGGAAGTCTATTAAGTAAACGGCTAAAATCAGCATGTGGCAAATCTTCCAGTTGTCGATTTTCGGTCACAGCCGCGAGATATGCCATTACCAAAGCCACTGAATACGTAGCTTTCGGTTTTTAGGAAGGTAAGTTTTTTATTGGGCAGGGGAGGGGGGGGGATGGGTTGGGGTATTTTAGACATTTTTTGCGAAAAACGCATGCATGACCCTTCACAAATACCTACACAAAAACATCTGACCCTCCCCTCCACCTCCTCCAAGACAAAAATAACCGGAAGTGAAAATAACTAACCGGAAGTGTTACTCACATAACCGCTTCTGCGCACAAAGCAGTTAATCGCGTGGCGTGTGATTGCACGGTGAAAACTTGAAATTGGGCAAGGATGTACGAGGAATAGGGAAGGTTCTTTTTTTTATTGGGGGGGGGGGGGTTTGTGGGTCGGGGTATTTTAGACATTTTTTGCGAAAAAGTCGTGGCCCTCCCACTTCCTAGAATGGATTAATACATGACCCTTCACAAATACCTACACAAAAACATCTGACCCAAGGAAAATTTTAGCGCAAACGCTACCACGATTAAGAACAACATTGACGACCTTTTGAAGCTGAAGGTCCAAATTGATGAGCTGAATGCGAAAGTAACTGAAGATGATAATGCGCTGTTCGATTCAAACGGACGGCATATTTCCGAAGTTCAAACTGACTCGCAAGGTGATGTAATAGATCGAGTTGTCGGTTCAACCCTTCGTAGCTTAAGTGACAAATCGACACCGAAGACTGATTTTATACCAGAACCCCGAGCAGAAACGTTACTGCCGTCAAAATATGGACGAAAGCGGGTACGGGTCGAGAGAGACGATTCGACACCTGTAAATAATTTAGATTAATCTTGACTGGTAGCTTTGCTTGTCTATACAAGTTTAAGGTTTCTATACACTTCGCGTGTTTGTTAACAAGTAAGAATCAACAAAGCGACATAGAGTAATTTTTTCCTTGCCAAAAAAACTGTTACCCTCTCCCGGTTGCGAATAAAACAGGTTTTACCCTCCCAATTTGCATTGTAAAAAATTTACTCATATCTCTCCCCTCCGAAGCCCCGGCCAACCCCACCCCCACAATAAAAAACGTACCTTCCTTTACATTGGTTTTCTCCCCCTTCTAGGAGAGTTTGAATGTCAATGTCTGTAAGAGATACGGATTTTTCAATATTTTAGCCGCCATAATCCGAGAAAGTTCTAAGAAACTACCCCGATTACATAAACAACGATGGGCATAATTTTCAATGTACAAAATTCTCATTTCATGACTTTGTTCTTACCGACAGAGGAAGTCTATTAGGTAAACGGCCAAAATCGGCCTTTGGAAAATCTTCCAGTTGTCGATTTTCGTTCTCAGCCGCGAGAAATGCCATTGTCAAAGCCACTAAATACGTAACTTTCGGCTTTTATCACCGTATATTGGTTTTTTCCCCTTCTGGGAAAGTTTAAAAGTCATTTTCTGAGAGCGATACAGATTTTTTAATGTTTTAGTCGTCGTAATCCGAAAGAGTTCCGACAAACTACCTTGTACTGAGGATCGTGAAGGTTTTGCCGTTCATTCATCAACCTGACCGAGTGGCGCGAAAGGCGAGTGGCGTGTCAGCAGCTGATTGGTGGTATCAAACACGTGTGAAAAAATATCGTATCGTTGTGTGCTTTTGCGGCTTTTCTCAGGGCTAGGAATCCATGTATAATACCTTAGTTTATATAATAAATATTTTTCTTACATGATCCTGATGTTATTACTCCTAATTACGCACAATGCCAATCATGGAACCGCAGTTTCAAAGAAAAGTTTTTTTTAAGCCCGGTTTCATAGGTACATCAGGTGAATTTTTGGGTATTCCTGGTTTTAAAGACATCTTTCCCCCATTACATCCTACAAAGGGGTCCCCACCGATGAGGTTTTCATACCAAGAATTTCGCAGTGTTTCCCTGTGTATCCTCGTTTGCAAATGCAAATGTAGCTATCGTCTTTGTATTGTGCAGCGCATGTCCCATTGTTCTGACAAGGCCAACTGATGCAGGGAGACTAAAGGAAAAAAAGGAAAATGAGATTCGTCACGTACATACGCCATCGACCTTAGCCCCCTTTTCTGTAACGAATTGTGTTCTCATTCAGAATTTTCTTACCTAAAGAACTAAATGAGCTAAATATTTTCTGTATGGTTTATTAACAGAATTGAACGCCGGTTGTAATGTACTTCCTGTAAGCCAAAGGTTTCTAATTATTGATGCTGATAACACTGAATGCATGTGAAACAAACTTCATGAGCGTTAGACCTATACACATATTGACACCCCCACCCTGATACAAGGTGGAAGGTGCCCCCCATCCAATTTTCTACGTTTTCATATTTTGAAAATGTACATGGATGGCCTGTTTTGGTAATCTAAATTCGAGAGCGCTGTTAAAGCCCGTGAGTTGTCATTCAACCCTTAAATTGCATTTTTTTGATAAAATTGTCAAGAGTGGTTTGCTCTTACCGAGATGCTATAGTGATGAAATTGCTCACTGATGGCAAACTTGTCCGAGTTGTTGTAAATGTCGGTTGGAAGTAATTGACATAGCAGTTTGCCATTCATGCCATGAAATACGGCCAGGTTAAAGGACAAACAGGATAGTGAGTTAACACAAGCTAAACCACATTCGCTTCCCGCTTTCACAACATTATTCGGTCCAATGGTGGTGACGTTCAGAAAGGCGAACCTGTGAGCTTTAAATTTGGCGTAAGCCATTCCCTTTTCTATACCTCGGTTGAGGAAGTTGCCGCCTACATGGATGTTTTCTAATGAACAAGTACATAAATGAACTAAATATATCCTGAACGCCATAAAACACCCCTTCTCACACGCCCACCCTCAAAGATGGGGCCCATTTAATTCCTAGACTTGAATACGAGGAGTTCTCGTGAATACCATATAGAGCACGTATTTCTTTGGATGCAGCCCGTACAATTTTCAAAACTGAAACAGAAGCTTCCAAACTTTGGTAATTTTTAAATGGAAGAAGAAATTTGTAGACTGTAGTACAGTTCAGCCATTTACATCCAATCCGTAAAAATTATAATTCTTATTTTTATTGGGTCTCCATTTTCGAATTTTTTGTCAAGGGGGAGTGGGAAATGGGACGATAGTTAAGAATTTGAATCTTTAGCCTATAAGAGAGTGGCAGCTATTGTTTAATTAGTTTAGGAAAAGTTTAAATTAATATCTTTACGTAAGCGAAACGGAAATAACACAAAATTTTAAGAATAAATTAATTAATTACCTTGTGACACTTTTATCGAAAACGTCAATGTCATCAGTAAAACCAGGCGGCTTCTCATCTCCGGACATTTCATTATTTTCTTGCAGCTGTCAATTGAGTAAGGGTAAAGTGATCGTCAATTTACTTTTTCACATAACACTAAAGCTCGACACGAAGTAACGATCGGGTTTTTTTTCGGTAAAATCCTGCACGATTCTGGACTTTGGTAGACTTCAATATTGATAACAATGCTTCTCAATTTCGTCTAGGGAAATAAAGTTGAATAAATTATATTCAATTTCACGTCAGCTCAGCGATCTCTCCCGAAAACATGCTCAAGTCCTTGGTATCATGATGCCTCATTCTCTTTCCTCAAACATACCTTCGAAACATAACTTCGAACATTTAATAATTTCCTATAATAAGTCTCTCTCTCATTTTAGATATTAGTGATACAAGCAATTGAGTGCAAAGTGAATATCGCGATTACCTCAGCTTGAACTCTTGAAAACAAAAAAAGCTTCTTGAATGAAAACAGTCAGAGCGAAACAAAATTTGTTTCCAGCTGCGCATCCAGGATTTTTTAAAATATACCAACATTAAATATCTATAACAGTTTTAGATGATTTCCCATAATTGTGATGAGATCCAAAGACTCTGTAAATTATAGTTAGCACTTCAAAGGTTATAACAATATCAATATCAGAAAAGACATGTGTTAAGTTTAGTGATAAGGCTAGAGTTCGTAAGCGTTCCTTTAGGCACGAAAGGGAAATATTTGTGCTCGTTTCAAAGCAGGAAAGTAAACGACGTTTGTTTCGTTCTTGGAAAACAGGCGTGGACTGGTTTAAGTTAGAATAATAAAAAAATCGATACTAGCACTAACGGTTGATGTTTTGCGGTAGCGATTTCTACTTATCCCAAACGATGGGTGGAAACACTGACGACTGACATTGTTACAATTTCTGTTTTTTACAATTAACACAATTCATAAAGGTGTAACACTATCGATTGACACTTAAACCCATGATTGATATTCAGCGCTATCGATCTGCCTCAGAACACCAGCAATTTATAGTTAATGCAGTCTTACAACGGCGTTTGGCGCAAAAACACCGGCGATTGAAGTTCAGCACTAACGATGAACCATTTTAGAACGAAACGGAAATTGATGTACAATTACGATTTGTTGCTAACACTAACGATTGAGTTTTAGTTGTCACTAGCGATTGATATTTCAGCACAAACGATTGAGTTTTATCACAAGCGACTGATGTTTTAGCACTAACGATTGAGTTTTATCACTAGTGTTTGATATTTTAGCAATAAAATATAGTTTTAGCACTAACGATTGAGTTTTATCATCAATATTTGATATTGTAGCTTTAACGATTGAGTTTTCTCAACGATTGATATTTTAGTACTAACGATTGAGCTCTATCGCTAGCGATTGATATTTTTGGCACACATGACTCCCCATAAGAGTGAAAAGTTGAAAGGTGAGAGAAAAATACAAATAGCACTAAATTTCGTTTGTCCTCATTGTCTGTGATGCTTTTTTTTGGTAAATTATAAATAATTAAAAACATGATTTCTTGCACATCAAAGCGATCTTCGCATTAGCACTTGTAAATTTTCAAAGACTACAAATTGCACTCGCCCATTCGCCCTACGGGCTCGTGCAACTTTGTTACCTACACATATACAGTTACCTTTACTATCAGCCGTAGTTAATCGTGCAGTCCGCTCGTCCAAGTAAGAGTAGTCCTGAAACGAATGTCGGCAGTCTTTAGTATTTGACTTTTCCACAACCCTGCTCCAGCTGACGTTATCATCAGAGTCACGTGACGAGTGTGCTTGTCATTCGACTGACAAAGAACCCTTAAACTCACTCTGATGAAAACCTCCAATTAGATTTTCGCCAGAAGTTTTTTCCAGGGCTTCTCTCTTTTGGATGATCAGACTACAAGAGCCCTGGGTTTGTGTCATTCACTTAAAAACACGTCATAGAATGTGTTAGTTTATCATAATAACCGCTTCAATCAAAACATAAAAACGCCAAGAGTAAGGCAAATTGCAGAAGATAAATTGCATTCGGTAAAGCCTTGCCCTTTATATCGCATTATATATTACCAACAAAGCATGTGTGAAACAAAACGACTAAAGATGGAACACAAAATGCTAATTATTGTAAATAGGTTTGAATTGTTAGTACTACAACGATGTGACTTTTCCGGAGACGTTGTTTATACATACTCATCGGCTAATTCAACTCTTTGATAAAACATATCGACTCTTCCACCTGACTAATTTCAAACAGTTACTTTATATAGATGGATTTTATATGAAGTTGATTTATGGCCGAATGATTTCCGATTTCGTTGCTTCTTCGAAAATAAAGATCATTGAAATCGGTTTGACAGTCCACCGGCGAACGCTGAAAATAACCGGATACAATTTTCAAATTGATTCTCAACGTGTCGAGAGATTTCCTGAAAGGATTGAACTCCACTCCTGACACCATGGGAACAAGCAGAAGTAACAAGTAATACTTTCTCGTCGTCTCATTATGTTCCTAACTTACGCCTGGATCGGTTATTATTTATTTAGTATCACTACTGGAGACGTGAAGCTAACACAATATCAGGGCACTTCATGGCAAGAAAGGAAGCTTTAAAATTTTCGATCCTGACCTTAGAAATGACAGATAAAAACGTTTAAGTCGTTGTGATAGTTTAACATTAGTCCTATAAAAACTAAACTGAGCCAAACCACAAGGTTGCATAGTCATATGGATGGGCTGTTTATCACAATTTTGTGTCTCATCGTGATAGCCTACCGTCTTGAGCGTGCCACGTCCTGCTCTGACGGTAAGTTTCCTCGCTTATTTAACGATATCTTTCAAAGAAGAGCTTATCTTTTTAATACTTTCCAGGAATAGTAAGCAGTCAGGAAAGGGACACCAGGCAGAATTTCGAGTAGAAACTGTAATTATATTTTTCCTCAGATTATCGGAAATGGCTTGATTTTCCACTGGCTCTCACGACACCAGTTTTCACATTCAGACTAACATCTGTGCCCCTTTTTAAGCAACGAAAATTTTGCCTTCACAGTGAGGTTTGCAAAGGCTCCTTGATTGCGTTGCTCTAAAAGACTAATGAAAAATATTACAGTTAAGCTTATGCCGACATTTAAATAGAAGAAAATCTGAGTGATTTTTCCTAATTGAATCTTAACAAGTATCTTCAACGCAGGAACGGCTAACGAACAAGTAGTAAGATCTGTATCTTAAAATGAAAAAAAAAAAAAAAAAAAAAAAAACTGAGCTCAGAAACAAGCGCATTTTTGTTAACTTTTCACAAGAATTGATTACCAGTTTGCAGGTGAATCTTATCATATTATATACTCGGTTCCAGATTTACATAATTTGCGTACGTTCAAATGGTATACAGCGGAACATTTGAGTAGTAAATTCAACTTTAGCGCTAATAACAAACAGAAATGTTGTTTCCATTACCAAATATTGTCTCCCTAAAAAGGTTTCATATTTTTTAATCATTTCGACCGTTCAAGTTAAGATTGGATCTTTGGCAATTTGATGTGTTTTTATGCACTCACCATTCATTAAAATCTATGTATGAAAATATTGATGAAACTCATCGACGAACATAAAAGAGACCTGGGGTGCGTTGTAAGACTAACAAGTTGATTTAAATGCATGTATTGCCCGTGGCATGAACAAGTCTGAGTTTTAGTTTTTATTACATCTTGCCAATTCCCCTCGATCTGCACATAAGGTTCCCACACAAAAAAAAATGAAAATGAAAATGAACAAACAAAAAAAACAAAATAAGAAGCAGGAATAATTTCATATACTTCGCATTTGGACTCACTTTTGTAAATAAAGTTAATGGTCAGCCGTTAAACAAAATATGACAAAATTTTTAGTTCCCAGAATTAAATGTCGTTTCGAACAACCAAACCCCAAAATATCACCAATCTGAAGAAAGCTTCCTAAAAATCTTCATGCTAAGTAGTGTACTAAAAAAATTATCACTTTCGTCCTCTTTTCACTTTTTTTTAGGTCAAGCTCGCGAATTGCGCTTTCTTTCTTCCTTATCGTTTGAAGGAAAATACCTCGCAAACCACGTTATAACAACGATCAACGTACTTGACAGAGACCTGTGTGAGTTAAGATGTTATGTTGAGAGCAACTGCGTCAGTATTAATTATGAAGTTCAGCCAAACGCATCACGAACACACAAATGTGATTTGAACAACTCAACTCATAAAGAACATGACCAGGATTTGGAAAGTGCACCAAGATATTCATACCATGGAACAAATGTAAGATTAATTTTGTAAAACTGTAGATATTTTTATTGAAAAAAGGTACGGCCTCAAAAGAAATAACTCTACGGGTGCACCATACGAGTCGGCTTAGAAAGGGAAAAACATTTTCTTAACACTGCCCGCTTGAAAATCAAAACCATAGCAAAGTCATGAACGCATAGCGTAATTTTTGTTAAATAAAAATTAAAAAGGAAAAGAAAGGAAAATTGGTCCTTTTTGTGGCTCTGCAGCAAGAATAGGGAAAAAACTGAAAAACTTCACCTTCCTCGAGATATATCAGTAATTATTCATATTCTTTGTAAACAGAAACATCTCGTTTGCAGCCGTATTTACAACTTTTTTTTTCCCGGTTGGATAGCATGACAAATAGTTCAATTTTGCTAATGATTCCTGTGATATGCTACAGAGAGAAGCACCTTGGGAATTTGAAAACTTAAGCGAGGAATCAGGAAAGGATACTGGAAGAAAACTAGTAAAATTGGTAATTTGTTGAAGCGTCGATGCATTTAGCACCTGTATGCTAATTAGACCGCTATGAAATTGAACGGAATAATTGAATGGTAAAATATATTTATATACGATAAACTGGCATAACATCAGGGTAGTAAAAAGTAGTAAAAATTCTCCTTGTCGCTTCATGCTACAGAAAACGAAAAAAATAAACTGCACTACAGCGGCTGGCCTGGGCCATTTAGTTCGAATGCTGACCTAAATTTCACTATATTGCAATATGGAGTGTCCTGTATACTTCCGCAACAATATCAAACATTTTATTCCTTTTAAGAACCATTGCGGCCAGGCCCCTTGCAAGAACAAGGCAATCTGCCAGTCTGGTTTCACAAGCAAAGGATATCGCTGTTTATGTAAACCAGGATTTACTGGTCCTTTATGTGAGAACGGTGAGAAATGGATTTCAATTAATATTTCGACGTAAATTTAAAATAGCCTGAAAGATAAAATGTTGATGTAATGTTCATACAATTGGTGTTAAATAGCACAGCACCTGAGCCCAGTCTAGCTCTGGCATGCGCACTGGCTACTTTGCTCGCCTCCAGGGTTGACATTCCTATTTCAGTGGCTGCTCTTCTGTTACTGCCGCGGTTTTAATCTTCCCAGCACCCGTTTAACTTTGGTGCAAATAAAGAAACATCCTCGAGATCCATGACATGTAAATTGGATGAAATTTTTGCGAAATTAGTTCATGAAATATGGATATGAATACACTTTACTTAACTTTGCTGATCAGGAGAATTTATGACAGAAATTGTTGCCAAATTCCGAGAGGAAAATGTAGCGCAAGCGAGGCTTCGTGGACACAATTAGCAATGACGTAATCATGCATAAGTGTTATTTTCCCCGAATCAAATTAAATTACTTTTATTTTTCCCCGACAACTTCCGAGCCGATGACAACCAAATCAATACATCCTTTAATAACTTCTAGATACCTAATTTAACACTCCAAGAGGAGAGTTATTACTAATGTCCATATGGTCATAATAAAAGAAAACTGAGTTAATCTTCTATCTCCCTCTGAACCTCAAGTATCGAAACAAGAATTATGACGGTTTTAAGGGTTCATGTTAGGAAGGAACATCGGTTCAAATATGTGCAACCTTTTCCCCATTACTGAAAAAAACTATACTCTCTGAATGCAGAACCTCTACTTTCCATCACAATTTGTGAGGGAAACTCAGGAGCCATAACGTGTCAAAATGGACAGAGAATCCAGATCTTGGATGCTACATATGGCAGAAGGAACACACAAACATGTCCTCATCGTGCAGACTCGAACACGAACTGTCTTTCTCCAAATTCTCTCTCAGCCGTGTACAACTTGTGTAACAACTTAGTGTCATGTCACCTGGCGCCTAATAACCGTATGTTTGGGGGAGATCCATGTGGAGGAACCTACAAGTATCTTTTGGTCGAGTACCAGTGCGTGTAGAGGTCAAGGAGAAGTCAAAATAATGATAGCGATAAAGATAATAATAACAGTTATAGTAAAAAAACAAACATAAAGGAAAAAGTAGAAAAGGTAACTGACCTATTGTAGCGTGGCAGAAGAAATCTTTCCTAACTACTGAATACCAAATAATCTTCATAAATCGTTGCCTTCATCAAGTCATTTCCATATCACAAGTAAAAAAAGGATCTTCAATTGAACCGCTGACTCTCGAAACCAACTTGTTCAGATTTAGTAGAAAAAAGAGTATCTCTTTATTTTGTTTTTCAAACACGACTTTACTGAGCCATCTTTCCATAAGTATAGAGCTGCAATCACGAGGAATGGAGCTGTAAGCTGAGAAACTGTCTGCTTGATTTCAAAGGGTTATAAATAAACCCAAGTAGTCACAAAACGGCTCGTCTCATGGAACGTTTTGATCACACAGTCAAGGGTAAAAGAAAACAAAGAAAAACGAAAGTATCAACGAGCAAGTTTAATCGCCAAATTTAATTTAATTTAATCGCCATCATTTCGTAAACTAAAAGCTTTCTTTCAAAATAATAATAGCACTCAAGTAACAGGGTACTTCCTTTTTCGATTTGTTCTTAAACGATCACATCTCAGTAAATTCTGTATCCGATTTATTCGCTGACTAACATCCTCGTCAATGTTGCTGCATCTATTATCTCCACCCTCGTCATCTGAAAACATCATGTCAGGTTCCTTTTGGCTGTTCTCTTCCGAAACATTTGATGGTTGATCATTGGAAGGTTTGCTATCTTCAAGATTAAAACGGACTTTCTTGGCAGAAACGTTAGCTTTGTACGGAGTAATCGCTGCGTCTAACTGACCATCCTTCTCTTTGCATCTTTTGTCTTCGAGATCTGCAGATGTTTTCGACTCTTTGCAGATACCTATTTCATCTCCATCTTCAACTGCTTGTTCATTTTCAGTCTCTGATTCGTTTCCTCTACCTGCTTTCGCGGCTCGCAGAGCTAGAGAAGCTTCATTGTCCCTCAGGAAAGCTATGTCATCTTTGTCACCATCTCTGCTATTCTTAAGATTGCCCTCAGATTCTGCACTTGGTTCCAAAGTGGAAGTGGTACTGGAGTCAAGAGCCTTTGATATAAAGGCCTCATTCGCAATATCAATACTTGAAGCTGTAGCCTGTGATTTGTTTTCAGATATATTTCGTTGACTTTCAAGAGATTCTTGATATATCTTCACAGCTGCACAGCTCTTCGCACCCGCATTTGATAGATTAGCCTCATCACTTAATACGATGACGTCTCTGTTACATGCCCCATAGTTGATATGCCCTTCTGCACGGCTATTATCGATCAAAGATTTTCTGTCTGGAACTGTTTCTACCTGTCTCAGCGTTTCAGTAGGTTTCGAAGTCTCACTCGATGCACTACCATCAACGCTGCCTAAATCATCCAACTCTGTCTGAAACAATGATACGTATCAACATTTTCACGTTCTTGAATAACTATAGGTAAGTTACTAAGAGATTTTAGTAACGCTTTTAAGAAATAGCTCCATTGATGTGAGGTTCAGTAAATTTATAATTGATGAGGATCAGGGTGAGATAACTGTTAGATATAGGTTTGTTTCACTTCACATCATTCCTCTCAAGTGAGTCCAACTGATAATGCTCTTAGTCTCAGCGCTTGATCTCAAAAAAGAGTTACTGATCCAACCGCAATTTACAACTTACAATGCAGCGCAAATTGATGAGACAAATAGACTTAGAAATGCATTTCTTTACTTTCTTGGTCCATTGATTGCTTTCTTCATAAATCAAATGAAGGTTGTGAAATAACTTCATCCTTACTGCTCTTGAAGGGTATTGAGGCAATACAAAACAAAACAAAGACGGTGTACCTTAGACATGGTATCAGTCGGAAAGGTAATGGAAATTTCTTCCTTAGTTTTCACTTCTTTTCCATCTTTTTGAGCTGCTTTCTGAAACAGGTCAGCGACCCTTTCTTTCAGCACAACGCACTGATTTTCCAAAAGTACGGTCCTTCCCACCTGAGTTATGAAGCTCTGTTCAGCTTGCAGCAGCTTATGATGTAGCAATGAGAGTTGCTGAAATATGAATCACTCAGCCAATCAATCGACCAGTTGTCTAGATAACATTCATCCAGTAATAAATCAATTATTGCCTGAAATAATCCACGATCTGGCCTGCCTTATTTTGAGACGCTTCACTTCAATTCACTTCAAATTTAACTTCATCATTGTCATCGTAGAGCAATTTTTTAATGGTTTTTAAAGTAATTCAAAATCGGATTGGAAAATCTCTCAACAAGCCAGACTTAGGTTAAGATCAATCGCACCCAGAGGACTCACACTGTTCGGCGATACACGAGCCCTGCATGTATCTAATAGCGCCTTGAAATAATGGCAGCCTTTGAATGTGCTCGGCCAAAAATTATCATTTAAGGAACGCTGATGATAAGTTGGCCGTTCCGTTGCCCAAGACTGAGTTTTTAAAAAAGAATTTCAGCAAAAATGAAACACGTAGTTGTGAAACTTTGGCTACGTTTGATGAGCTTATTTCAACCTATAGACCATATGCGAAATATCAATTTATCTTTTAAGGATTAACCAGCTTTTAAAGTGTTGATGATAGGCCAGCGTGTTTAAATAAAGTTGATCTTGATCTTAATTGTATCAGTGGTTTTGTTCAACATATTGTACTGACCTCATGAAAGCAGTCTTCGGTTTGACAAGTGGTGTCAGTGAACTCCCTTTTGCAGTCAACTTTTTCCTTTGTTTTGTTTATGATCTCGTTTTCCAATTCCCTAACTCTCTCTTGCATTGTACTACATCGACTTTGCAAAGAATTTGCTCGGTGTGTTTGACTTTCAAGGTCCTCCCTAACTTGTTTAAGCCTTGCTTTAAAAGATGAAATCTACAACAAGATCGATAGGAGACTTAAGCCACAATGAGGGAGCCTTGAGGAGCTCAAGTAAATGATGGGTTTGTACAATAAAGTCGCTTACATTAATGAAGAAAAAAATTTAAAAAGAGAACAGGTATCTTCGTACAAATGCCGGCAGACCAGCTGTATAAAATCACAGTAGCGGCTATGTAGTCTACGAAGGCAGATACTATTTTCCTCTTTAGAAAAACAATAGCGAAATAAATAAGTAAATAAATAAATAAATAAGCGTTTACCTTATGAGAGAATGTCGGGTGAAATGGGAAAATTGGAGCAGGAAAGACTCCCTTTCCTCTCCCTCCATATTGTGCAGCGATATGGTAACAAAAGAAAATTCAATCTATTGTTCTGGATTATGTTAATGAAATAAAAGTGAGGTTCATTAATACCTCATCTGAATGAGTTTTCTTTAACTCTTCTTGGATTCCTTTCTGTGCTTGAAGGTTTTCTTCATTCTGGGCCAGACGTTTACCGAGTTCGTCGAGTTCTTTCTGCATTGACTCTATTTTGGTCTTCTGTTGCATATTATGTTCTGACCAGTTACTGTTCAGTTGTTCCAAAGAGTTATGAGCCTCTGACAAGGAATTGTGCTCTCGTTGCAAGTTTTCAAGACGACTTTCCAAAGCCTTTTTCTAACATGATATTGAAAATTTTTCAAAAAGAGGGCAAACTCGCTGATGAAACCTTGCATTGATTATAAGGGTGCCATACATGGAAGTTAAACATTGTTTTATGGGGTTAAAATGACTCATGACAAAAGCGCTTGAATTTCGTTTTAACCATGGAAGAGAGGCAGAGATGACAATAAAATGTCTGAAATGTGTCTTTGACAATCCTCCTCGTTTGTAGTATGTTACACAGATTAAGAAGCTTTCAAAAAAAGGGATGACATGACATTTCATTTCCCCGATGCCAAAAAAGGCGCATGACCTCATCCTGTGAGCTCTTAGAATTCGAAATGGCTAATTAACTTTAATGCACAATACCTGATCATTCCATTCTGTTTCTCTAGCTTGTAATGTCTCTTCTAAACTAAGCTTTTTATGCAGTTCGTTATCAAGACACTTCTTTAGTGTGCGACACTCTGTTTTAGTCTCGTCCAACTCCAAATGAGCAACTTCTTCAAGCTCACAATGCTTGTTTATAGATTGCACATGCCGGTCAAGGAGTGCATGCGCTTCCTCTAGTGACTGCATCAGTTTCTTAATGAAAACAAGAAACTGATATGAAATTATCATAAACACTCACTGTTATTACGGTTGTGATTGGACAGTCTCGATCCATCGGCAAAGTTAGGTCAATCTGATTGCTGGCTTGTTTCAATTTGGTTTGTTTTATTTTTTCAATCCACTTGATCATTGGGACGAGGTCCATAAAAAATCTTGTTTTGGTTACCTTATTTTCTTCCCTAGAGTCCTCCTGCTGGCTCTGCAATTTTCGGCAAGTTTCATGTTGCTGAAACCATAACGATATTTTTTTAATGCCTCGCTTTCACTATTCCTTCTTGAAAGAGGAATTTTGACCCGATGGATGGCGAATCAGCAAATCAGTTCAACCTCTATCTTCATCAAGTCGTTTAACAGACAAATCACTAAACAAGTTGTAAGAAAATTGCCGAATACTGGCCTACAAATAAACTAAATACCATGTGAAGTTCTCTTTCCAGAGCATCTAAACGGCTGCGTTCCTTGTCACTGTCACTCGATAAAGAATCTTTCTTTTGTGAGAGAGCTGCTTTCAAAGCAACTAGTTCGAACTTTTTACATTCGAGTTCTTTCCTGCACGATTGAAGGAGGCACTTTTGATGCTCGTTGGTATACATCAGTTTTCTGTGAAGCCGGGAGGCTACAGTGACTGAAAAATAGGTAAGTGATGCCATTATAAATAACAAACCGAAGATCGATACTTTATTTTATTCATACGTATTCCGTGGCGTATCAAGTGCATTTGCCGCAAGGTTTTTTATCATAAGCTGTTGACAATACGTTACCCTTTGTTTCTGTCTTTTCCACTAGCTCTGCTAACTGAATACATCTATCCAGTGCCT